TTCGACTTGCTGTTTTAGCTCTGTTTAAGGCAAAAGTGAGCTGAATGTTCCAGAGAAGTCTCTTGACTCTTAGATAAGGCTATTCTTCAACACATAAGTTTAGGCAAAATTGTCTTATGAAACTCTCACATGCCTAGTGCTCTAGCCAGGACCACTTGACCATTTCACTTGATTCCTATCAAGGATTCTGTAAGATGTAAAAGAATGATGCTGGGTTCCCAGAGAAAATATATTCCTAGTTCTTTAAAGATTCAAGAATTCAGAGCTTTACTCTTACCATGACCCAGACATGAAGGGAGATGCTGAGGGCTAAGTACACAGCCGTCAGGATGATGGTTCCTTTGAATTTATGGAACAGGAGATTGACCAGGCCAGCCTGGAAGACGAAGGTGTTGAAGAACATGAGGAAAATGATGATGATGTTGAAGAGGACTGCAATATCCTGGATGCTGCGGACACATAAAACAAATACGGCCGAATGAAGGCCTGCGTCAGGACCCAAGAGCTGGCCCTAAGTCCTGAGGGACACCATATAATCTGTACTTCCCTGTGATAATGATGATGATGTTGAAGAGGACTGCAATATCCTGGATGCTGCGGACACATAAAACAAATATGGCCGAATGAAGGCCTGCGTCAGGACCCAAGAGCCAGCCCTAAGTCCTGAGGGACACCTTATAATCTGTACTTCCCTGTGATAAGGTCATCTGAAACCCTCACAGAGACAGCATGGGCTTTGGGACCCACATGACATCAGTTGAGTTGCAGTCCACAGACAAAGTTTTCCTGCTCTGACACTCTTAACTCAATAAACCTACTATGTACTTTCAAGAAGCTAGTTTCCTTCCTATGTCCAGAAAATGCCAGCCCTATCTGTCAAATAACCTGGTCCTGTCAGGCAATTTCATCTAGCAAGACAACAATGCACTTCCTTTGATCTCTGCAGGGCCAGTGCCTTCACGCCATTCAAGTCCAATTCATATATCCCCCTTCAGACTTTCCTTTAACCCTGCTCCCTAAAGTAGCTCTCCCCTCCCTACCCCAGCTACTTAATATTCATTGTATGACATCACTATTCAAGATTATCTTATTTTTCTTCAGGTAGTCATTGTCTCTCTCCAGCCAAAGTCACCTGTCTTTCAATGGAAACCTCATGAAAGTAGAAACTTGTCAGGGTTACCACTGCAACTAGAACACTGTCTGGCGGGCCAAAGAATACTGTTGAATGAAGGAAGACCATGTCCAGGACTGTGGTTTTCAGCTTAGAAAATGCCTCATGGAATCTATAAATCATTTTGGAAGCTAAATGCCAACAACTTCTGTCCTACGGATTCATACATATTATTAATATTATTGCCCTGTAATCCTATTTTGTAGTCCTCTTTCATGGCAAAGACAATATTTCTACTCACAGATGGAGAAAATGACAGTCAGCAGTCTGACCTAACTTCCTATGTGAACTGGTCTCCTTATCCCCAACTCTTCTTAGAAGCATATAAAACAGGATTTCTGACCATGTCTGTGTGCCATGAGGAACACAGCACAACGTTTAATTTTATTCTCCCTGATATTTCTTTATTAATAACTTAAAAATGCTAAATCACTACTGTCAGGGCCTTCAGACTGCTTGGGTTCAGCTTTCTAAACCCACCCACTGAACTCACATGAAGAGCACCAGCTGGATGACCGGAGCCATTCGGAGCAGTTCTGAGAAGGAATTGACAAAGAGGTCATAGGAAAGCAGCAGGAACTGCAGGGAGAGCACCAGGCTGTAGTTACTGGTCTGAAGCATCTTCCTTCTTCTTTCTTGGGTCCTCAAGGGCACATTCCACAGTTCCAGAGAAAACAACTCCTGGTTCTCTTCCCAGCACTGTGGGAGAGGTGTCTAGTTCCTCTGAATCAGAGCTGTTTCCCTTGCTCTAAGGCAAAGGCCTGTTGGGGAAAAAAGGAAGCAAGTTTAGAAATTCATTAATACAACAAACACTTACTGAGGAATGGTGTGCCTGGCACCATTTCAAGTGCTTGAGATATGTTAGTGAACAAAACCAGCAACCCCAAAACCCCAACTAGTCACTCTAGGGACCCTTCCTCTCAAACCTTTCTCCATGCCTGGAACCTTCTAAATACAGTGCTCTTTCTTACCAAAGGAATCTAGTGGTACTACAGAGAAGAGTGACTGACTGCCTGGTCACATAGTAGTAGTTTATAGTAATAATAAAAATTAGCAGCAATAGCTTTGGCATAAAACCCAAACCAAAATAACAATAGCAGCAGCAGTGTATGTATCACTTACAATGTGCCAGGGACTGTTTTAAGCACTGGCATTATTTAAACCTCACAATAATTTCATGAGGTAGAAGATACATTATTTTCTCCATTTTACAGATGAGAAAACTGAGGCCCAGAAAGGTAAAATAATTTGTCCAAGGTCACATAGCTAGTAAGTGGCAGAGCTAGTAAGATTCAGATCTAGGCAGTCTGGGTCCAAAGTCTAGTCTCTTAACTACTGCAGTAAGCTGCCTCTTACATAACTGACAGGCTGACATGTATCTGGTGGGAAAAATGTCAGCACAGAAGTGGGAGGTGGTATAGGCAGGAAAAACTGAGAGGAAATAGTGCTCTCCTGTAAAGCCAAGTTCAAGGTTAGTCCTGTAAAGTTCAAAGTTATGGTAGCAACACAGTGTCACCAGGTAAGGGGAGCTGGGCCTTTATTTTCATATATTCCAAGACCCACGAATTGCCTTGGGGGTGTTCTGTGACCCTGCAGCTGGATCAAATCTATAAACAAAGTTCAAAATGCTTTGAAGTGTTGGAGAATGAGTACGTTAGCATCTGTGAACTGTCTGAAAATTTACAAACTTTTCATATCTGTAACTTTACTGAATCCTACAACCATCTTGAGAAGCAGCCATTATCATGCATATAATCCCCATTTTACACACAGGCTCTGAGAGATGAAGGCACGTGCTCCATCTCAGTTGATGGCGAAGTCTCACCTTGCTGGATGTACGACCGACCCTGGTTTCTCTGAGCCCGGGCTCCCCATTCATTAAATAAAACCGACAAGAGCCGGCCCGTGGCTCACTCCGGAGAGTGGGGTGCTGATAACACCAAGGCCACGGGTTTGGATCCTATGTAGGGATGGCCGATTCGCTCACTTGGGAGAGCGTGGTGCTGACAACACCAAGTCAAGGGTTAAGATCCCCTTACCGGTCATCTTTAAAATAATAATAATAATAATAATAATAATAATAATAATAATAATAATAATAATAATAATAATAATAATAATAATAATAATAATAATAATAATAATAATAATAATAATAATAATAATAATAATAATAATAATAATAATAATAATAATAATAATAATAATAATAATAATAATAATAATAATAATAATAATAATAATAATAATAATAATAATAATAATAATAATAATAATAATAATAATAATAATAATAATAATAATAATAATAATAATAATAATAATAATAATAATAATAATAATAATAATAATAATAATAATAATAATAATAATAATAATAATAATAATAATAATAATAATAATAATAATAATAATAATAATAATAATAATAATAATAATAATAATAATAATAATAATAATAATAATAATAATAATAATAATAATACCGACTGCCATCATTAGGAACCAGCACCATAATAAACTTGTCAGCCGAGTTAATTTCCTCTAATCCTCGCAACAACTCTGCAAGATGGGAAAGAATTACCCCCATTCTACAGGCAAGTACATAGAGTCAGAGTTCAAGTCCTTCCTCCAGGTCGCAAGTGAGCAGAGCCAGCATTGCTAACTAGATGTGACGCCAAACCGCTGCTCTTAAGCACTGCTTCCCAGGCCGCCCCGAGGGCCGCTGTGAGGGGCCGTTCTACAGAAACGCCCGCCGCTCTCTCCAGGTGAAGGACGCTCATGCCTCCCCCTTAGGGCAGTGTGAGTCGCACGGGAATCCACTGCTCTCTGCCGCCCTCCCTTTGTCCCCAGAGCAGTTTTCCTCACCCTTCCCAATCCACTTAAAGTGGGGTTGCCTTGGCATAAAACCCAAACCCAAAGCAATAACAACAAACATTGTGACTTCTGGTCACTGTGCCCACTCCTCATCAACCACTCACCTCAGAGAGACCCCAGGTCGGTTGTCATGGGGACACCATGCTAGCTTCCGGAAACCGGCTTTACATTCCGGAAGTAGATGGCGGACGCGGGCTCCGCAAGAGGCGTGTGGGCCGGATTGTCCTCGGCTTTCTCTCCCGCGCTACGGCCGGCCCGGGCGCCATGTTTGGGCCATTGCTTGCTTGGGCCCGCCCTGCTGCTGGCCCTCTCAGCGTCGCCGCCCGCTCATCAAGGCCTCCCGCCCATGCCGCGCCGGCCTTGCTGAGGGCTTGCCGCGGGCTGGAGACTTCGTGTCAACCTGAACATTTCTGCTTTCTCAGGATGGGGGCCAGAGGCCAGGGCAGACGCGTCGCAGCGCTCCTGGTCCCTGACCCCTGGATTGAGGAAGGAACGCCCGCGAAAGAACCGGAGTTGGGGGACCGGCTCTTCGGCGCGCTGGGCGGAGGCGAGCCCGGGACTCCGGACTTCATTTCCCAGGCTGCCTCGCGCGCGACCGGAAGTGCTTCGAGCCTATAAGAACGAGGCGGCTCGCAGCGCTCGACTCCGGGTTGGCGGTGCGAGCCGGGAGCGGTGGCTCGCAGTCTGTTCCCCAGCTCCCAGGAACCTCGGGAGCGGCAGGTCCGGCGCCGGGTGGTGAAAGGCAGGTGTCGGAGACCCCGTATCCGCTGTGTCCCACTGTGGTCAGGGGTGAGAGAGAGTCCGGGCTGGGAGTTCAGGGTCCTGGGTTCCAGTGCTGGTTCCGCTACCACCTCGCTTCGCTCGACCTCAGTTTTGTCTTTTAGGAAATGGACACCATTCTCCGCGCCCTTCCTTCCACAGGTGGTGGTTGTAAAGGCACGGAAGCTCTTCGGAAGGCGCAGAAAGCAGGTGGAGCCCCTCGCCCGGATTTTCACCCAGTGTTAGCTGGGACCAGGCGCCCAGCAGAGGGGTGAGGGATTGACCCCCGGGTGCCTGGAACTGTTCTTAGCCAGACCCGAGCACAGTCGAAAGGTCTGTAATCACTCGTGTTAAGGAGGACCTTGCTTACCTACCTCCTGGCTGGAATATTAGACCCTTCACTCTTGAGTCCTGACTTTACAGAAGCTACCATTGGAAATAAGCAATCCTCGGAGCTGAGAGGGAGTGGACCTGAATTCCTGTACCAGTTCTGCCACTCACCTTGGCAAAGTCACTTGCCTTGTTTGGGGCAACAAACTACCACCTACAGGCCAAATCTGGCCTGCCTGAATGATTTTTGACTGTTCAAATGATAAAATGAAAAGGATAATATTTTGTGATGTGAAAATTATATGAAAGTCACATTTCAGTGTCTATATGTAGAGTTTTGTTGGAACACAGCCATGCTCATTTGTTGAGAGACTGTATATGGCTGCACTTGTGCTAGGTCAGCAGAGTTAGTGACATAGTTGTGAGAGAGACCATATCACCTGCAAAGTCTAAAATATTTACTGGCACTTTACAGAAGTGAGGGCAGAGCGGGAGACTAAACTGTGGTGAGCACATCCTGAAATCATAGCCCAGCCTGCTCTCTTAGCACAAGTGAGAGGATATTCTGAGCATTTGCATTGCAGTTTTCACTGTGTTCTTCCTTTCCCCTACTTTTGCTCTCTATTTCAGGGGGAGGGAGGGCTTACCTGTGTACTCTTGAGCAGAGCAGTATAACTTTACAGCCTTCTGTCAGGGAAGTTTCTCCATTGTCTATTCTAAGTGTGTCACAGAGCAGTAGTTTAGGACCTCTTCTAGGAGTGCGGATCCAATCCCTTTTGGATTATATTTACTTAGCTTTTTCTTTTTACAAAGGAAAAAAAGTTGTGGGTATTGTCAGATGGGTGGAGACTATAGACCAAGAGCTCCTTAATGCTGACTTAACTTTTCACTGGGGGTGGTGGGTGTTTTAACTGAATGTCTGATGACCCCAGACTTTCTGACCTTGCAGAAATTGAGGGGGCAGCTCCGAGGCTGGGTAACAGATCTCTGAGCTCAGTACTTGAGTCGCAATGCTTCTCAGAAGCTAGCGGCATAATTTTCTCCTGTCAACCTCATTGAAGCTTGTTTTTTTTCCCACAGCCCTCCGACCTTTCTTTCTCAGAGATTTTTGCCCAGTGTCTCTTCCTGGTTAGGTAGACGCCTGGCATGGGAATAGCTGGCATGGCATGGAATCGGGACCACTGAGAGGCCTGGGTAGGTACAGGGACCATGAGTTTCATGTTTTTGTTAGTAGCTAGGATGAAATGCTGTCACAGCAGTAACTAAGAGTATAATGCTTGACTCCCCACAATGTCCTTACATACATTTTCTCACTTGACCTTCTGACAACCTGTGGTCAAGGAAAGAGCATGAGCCTTGAAGCCAAACAGACAAAGGTTTGAAACTCTTTTTCCGCTTACTGGGTCCTAATGCTAGTAACTTAATCTTTCTGGGCTTAGTTTCCTCATGTATAAAATAGGGATGATATTCCTCACAGGTTTGTCAAGAGGAGTCAGCGGGATCATGTGTGTAAGGTTCCAGTGCTTATGCTATTCAGTGTTCAGTAAATAGTATTATTATTGCTATCTATGCCTCTCTTTCAGATGAGAACACCGAATGCTGCAAATGTTAAGTGATTTGCTCAAGGTGCCCAGTTTGTAAGAATTGGAGCCTAAGCCACCACTCTGTCAGCCTACCACTAAGTGTAAAAGTAAGGAATCAAGTGTTTTTTGGAAGTTATTGGCTATTTCTTCTGTCTGGTAGCTGGTTCAGAGTGAGGGATCTCAACTGCAAGAAGCCACATTGTTGCCTTCTTGGTGTGAGTCCATGGAACAGGGTGACTGTCTTGAGGCCTGGGCCCATGCTTCCTACATAGTAGCTGAAAGCAGGGGTAGTCCTGTAGTTCTGCCCACTTTCCTGGCTTTTAAGAGTAGCCGCTCAGAGGTTTAGGCATTTGCCATGCCTGAAACCAGAGTTGGTTTTGGAGTTTATCAAGTACACCTGGAAATCTCAAAATAAACTTTTTGCTTTGTAGACCGTGAGTTCTTGCTTCCTCTTTTTTCCTCTGGACTTTCCCCAGAGGAAGAGAAAGCAGAAGTCTCAGGCCTGGAGGCAGCTGAAGGGTATCACCCAATTCAAGATGTGGAGTGTGGGGACTCTGGAGTGAAGGCCTGATCTTACATCCTTAGTGAGGATTAGCCCCACAGTATTCACCATCTGGGGAAGGAAAACTTACTGACTTTCTGGTCTAGTGAGGGGAGACTAATCCCAGGGCTCTGGGCCCAGAGCTTTGTCATTTGGCCGCAGCTGAGAAGACCCTCTCCAGGGCCAGCCATAGCCCTGAGCTCGCTGCTCTGTGCACTACCAGAAGCTGGGCTGGGCCTTCACTTATTGGCCATAACCAGAGATCAGGCCCACCCAGCCATTGAGGCCTCATGGGGTGGTGCCCAGGCTGATGGTAGGGGAACTGAAGTAAGAAGATTCCATCCCATGGGCCAAGAGTGAGGTCAGTGTTACCTCACTCAGCCAGTGTGTGGGTGGACCCGAACCATTGGGGACATGTGGGCTTCTTCTAGGAGTGATTGATCAGAATGGCTTCAGGATGGTTTTACCTGTCCTGCCTGGCGCTGGGGTCCCTGGGCTCGCTGTGCATTCTCTTCACCATCTGTTGGATGCAGCACTGGCGTGGTGGCTTTTCCTGGGATGGCAGTATCTACACGTTCAACTGGCACCCGGTGCTCATGGTTGCTGGCATGGTAGTACTCTATGGAGCTGGTGAGTAAGAGGGAGGTGTGGGAGGTGTGATATGGTCCAGGCCTGGATGGGGCAGTGCTTTCCATCTCCAAGGCTGGCCTTTGTCAATGTTGCATTTGGGGTTGTAGGGTTAGGGTGAGTTGGTCTGTCACTGGGCTTAGCTGTCATTTGGGAGAAGAAGTGGTAAGAATGGGGGCATCTGAGAAGGGCAGCTTCACAGGTACTCTAGGACAAGGGTCGGCCAACTTTTTCTGTAAAGGGCCAGATAAGTATTTTGGGCTTTGTAAGCCATGTGATGTATGTTGCAACTACATTCAACTCTACCATTGTATTGTGAGAGCAACCACAGACAACACCTAAACATATGAGCATGGCCGTGTTCCAGTAAAACTTTATTTAAAAAAATAAGTGGGAGGCTACATTTGGCATGTGAGCTATAATTTGTCCTCCTCTGCTCCAGGGAACAGGAGGTTGAAGCCTCTCATGGTAGAGTTAGGCCCTTGCTTACTCTTCCTGGACCCATCTTTTCTTTTTTTTTTAAAGATGACTGGTACAGGGATCTTAACCCTTGACTTGGTGTTGTCAGCACCACGCCCACCCAGTGAGCGAACCAGCCAGCCCTCTATAGGGATCCGAACCCATGGCCTTGGTGTTATCAGCACCACACTTTCCTGAGTGAGCCACAGGCCAGCCCTTCCTGGACCCATCTTTGTCCTATACATTAAAATCTGTGCCTTGGAGCCCAGGTGAGCCTCATTTTTCCCACTTGTAAAATAGGAATAATGATGACATTGATAATAGCAGCTTACCACGTGCATCTCACATTTGTCATAGTATTTTGGTCCTATAACAAGCTTGTGAGGTGGGCTCAATTGTCATCCGCATTTTACAGATGAGGAAACAGCTAAGAGGCAGAGCCTAGATTTGGATCTAGGTCATCTGACTTTAATGCCTGTGTTCTTGATAACTAACCTCAGTTGTGAGAACAGAGTGTGATGAAGTAATGAATGTGACAGTGCTTTTTAGCCTGCAACATGCAGCTGCATTTATCGTAATGACAGAATGGCAGGTCCAAGAAACCTGCTTCTCTCTTTAACTGGCCCTTGTCTCCTCCCTTCATGGCTGTTATCCGAAAGACGATAGGAGGATAGAAGATGCTGAGGAGTTGATACCAGTGTCCTAACATTTCCTTCTTCCTTGTTGGGCGGCAGTGTGGGATTGTCTTGGGGTAATTCCCCTGATGTGTGGGTGAGCACAAGGGGAAGAGGCCGAGCCTCTGGACTGCTCTCTCCTGCAGCGTCGCTGGTGTACCGCCTGCCCCAGTCGTGGCTGGGGCCCAAGCTGCCCTGGAAACTCCTCCACGCAGCCCTGCACCTGATGGCCTTCGTCTTCAGTGTTGTGGGGCTGGTTGCTGTCTTTAAATTTCACAACCATGCAAGTGTCAGCAACCTCTACTCCCTGCACAGCTGGCTGGGCATCACCACCGTCCTCCTCTTTGCCTGCCAGGTGGGTTCTCTCCACCCTCCTCTTCTGGGTTCCTGCTGCCAGGTCTGGCAGCCATGGGCTCTGGCTGGGGCTTCACTTGCATCAGCACCAAAATATTCCCCTGCTCATTGCCTGGGGAGGGCCTTGCAGG